TTATAAAAAAGAATGAATTCTAAGGGTCATATTAATTGAAGCTAAAATGGCACATATGACATAAAAAGGTGTCTGAGCGTGGCATGGTGGGATGGGCCTGGCGTTCACACCCATATCCACAGTGTGACCTGGGCAGTTGTCTCATTGCCCAGTGTCACAGAGTTTTCACCTGTGAAATGGGTAGGACGGTCTCTGCCCTCCTGCTGCCCAGGGTTGTGGGATGGCCTGAGAGAGTGGGTTTGGGTAACCTGTCACGCAGAATCTATGGGGTGGCCGCAGTTTAATTCCTCGACTTGGGATCAGAGCTTTCAAGCTGCTCCAGGCAGGGCTGCAACGGCCCCGTGGCAGGCGGCTGCTCATTTCGGGCTGTGCCTGACCCGGGGCTTGTTGGAGACCTACAGGGCTCCTCCAGGCAGCTACCAGGCTGGCTTCTGCAGGTCGTCTTGGACTGCAGGGAGACTCTGTGGCTTTTCCCAGCCAGGTCCCAGGAGAGGATGAATGATCTTCTCCCCGTGTATTTAGGATGGTACTAGGTGAGGTGAGAAAATAGACCGTCATGACTTCCTGTGTTCTGCGGTTCCCTGAAGAGCCCCAGTTGAGAAAGGCTGGGACCTGAAAGACCCAGAAGCTCCCCCACCTCACCTCACCTCCACCCCAGGTTTGGGCACACAGGGAATGAGAGGCCCAAGAGAGGCAGGCACTGGTTCAAGGTTGTCAGGATCTCAAAATAGGTCCCTAAATGCCGGGTCAGGACTGTGTCATGGGTGACATGACCATCCCGTTCCTTCTGCATTTTGAAAACAGAGCAGCTCTAGGCTGCTGGTTTCTACATCTCTGGCCATGAAAGTGCATTCGTGGAGCTGTTTCCCAGACCTCCGTGTGCAGGAGCGGTGGGTTTGGGAGGCCGAGCCTCGCCCTCCTCTGAGAGCTGAGGTCGGGGCTCTGGCTGGCTCTGGGCTCTGGTAAGTGCACTGCAGCCCTGGCATGGCTGGAGGAGGGGCAGCGGCTAAGTGGTTTCTGAAAAAGGGCAAAAATGATGGGAAAAGCTTTGGGATCCTCTGGGAATCAGAGCCGCCGCCGCAGCTGCTGCTGCCATTGCTGCAAGCAGTTTCCTTGCGAGCCGGAGTGTGCCCACAGCCCACCCCTGCCCGTGTGGAGCAGTGCGGCCCGGGGCGGAGCTGAAGACCCTCACGCCCTCCTGGAGTCAGGGAGGCCACTCTTCTCCCTCACCGGCCCGTCGCTCCCTGCAAGCTCCCACCGGCACCCACTGGGTCTGGGCTGTGCCCGCGTCTAGCTGGTGAGTCCCTTTTGTTGTTTGATGGCCAATGCAGATGTCAGCATTCAGCATGGCATAGTGAGCGGTCAAAAGCTGGGCCCTGCCACTTTCCAGCTGTGTGACTGTGAGTTCAACCAGCCTCTCTGCACCTCAGTTACCCCATCTGAAAACTGGGGATGGAAACAGTGGCTACCTCAAAGGTCATTGCGAGGCTAAAGTTGTAGCGCACTTAGCCCGGCTCGTGGTAAGGGACGGCGGTGGCTGGTGTTAGCGATGCTTATTGTAGTTGCTCCTGCACCAGGGGTGGCCTGGGGTGAAGAGGCTGCTGAGGCTGGTGGTTTGTGGCTGGAGGTTTCCAGCGCGTTGCCCTCTGTGTGGAGTGGAGGAGGAGTGTGGGGTGGGAGGCAGGCGCCCTAGGCTCTACTCTCTCTTTGTTCTTCACCCCTAGGTGGGAAGCCCCCAGCCCGCTTTAGGAGATGCTCAGGTAGGACAAGGGATGACAACGATCTGGGCTGGGTCCTGGGCCAGTGTTTTCTCAGCGTAAAGTCACAGGCCTTGAGAGGGAAGTGCTCACAAGAGCCCACATGGGTGGATGCTTTGGGCAGAGAGGGGTGCGGGACAGCCACACCCCGGGGTGCCTCACCTGGATTGAGGAGAGAAGAGAGCCTTCTCCCAGGTGGTGGGCAGTGTCCTTTCTGGCTCTGGAGTTGAGAAAGACCCAGAGGTCAAACCAGATCTTTGTGGGCAGGGTCATTGTTCCAGGACTCTTTAGTCCAGATTGATGAGTGAGTGAATCTCGTATAAATCAGAACCACCATCTCCATCAAACAACCAATACTTGTCTGCCTAAATCACAGTAGGAAATTCCCCCGATCACTGTAGAATGTTCTGTGGTGACGAGTGCATCACCATGGGCTCAGGTGCAGGGCACAACCCAGACATGGCAGTGACAGACTATCCTGTCCCTGTTGCCCATCCCAGCCCAGAGAAAATGGCCTCTCAGTCCTTGTCCCACCCTGTGCCCTGGGAGAAGTTTGGTTTCTAGTAGAGAATCAGGTGCAGAGTGTGCAGTGTAGATTCAGGGTTTGTTGACTGAATAAACGACAGTACTGTGTGGGCTGCTTCCTGTTTACTGGCTCTGGTAAGATTCGGACTGGTGTGAGCAAGAGGCAAAGCTGCTAACAAAGAACATTGCTGAAAGGTTCCTGGCGCCTCCTGCTGATAGATGCACTCTTGTTGGGCTGTTAAGAACTGCTGGTCAGGGATTAGTTTATTCTTAGTTTTGTAGCCAGCTTCATCCAAAGGGAGACCACAGATATTCCTGGGAGAGCCAGACATGGGATATGGCCTGGGTCTTACTCATGTTTCATTTTGGGGGTTTGAGCTTCCTGGGATGCTTGTTTGAGCAGGAGGGTGCTTCAGGTTGTGCCTGTTCCCAGGGGTGGGAGTGCCTTGTCTGATTGGCTCCCAGGCCCTTGTCGGGGGTCTGGGGTTGAGTTTCACAGCTGAGAAAGAGCCGCAGAGCTCCAGGACAGTGGTGGGGTATTGGAGACGCCCTGGAGCCAGGCTGCCTGGGATCAAATCCAGATTCCACCTCTTACTGTGTGACCTTGGGCAAGTCACAGAACTGCTGTGTGCCTCAGTTTCCTCATCTGTGAAATACTTACTCCTTAGGGATGTTGTGAGAATTAAGCAAGTGAACATACATAAAGTGCTCGGAACGGTGTTTGCTTTGTGCATGGCATGCGCTCAAACATGTCAATTATTTTTATTCTCATTGGCTTCTGGTGCCTTTTATTTTTATTTTTTAATTTAATTTTTTGAGTCAGATTCTTGCTCTGTTGCCCAGGCTAGAGTGCAGTGGCGTCATCATAGCTCACTGCAACCTCAAACTCCTGGGCTCAAGTGATTCTCCTGCCTCCTGAGTAGCTGGAACTACAGGTGTGTGCCACTGCACTCAGCTAATTTTTCTATTTTTAGTAGAGATGGGCTCTCTCTCTTGCTCAGGCTGGTCTCAAACTCCTGAGCTCAAGCGATCCGCCTGCCTTGGCCTCCCAGAGTGCTAGGATTACAGGCGTGAGCCACCGCACCGGCCATCCGGTGCCTTTTAAATGCTGACAGGTTCCCCAAACCATGAACAGTCCTTGACAGGAAGTTATCTTCTGAAAGCATAGACTAGTGTCCAGTCCCCGTGCTTCTGAAGCAACTCATGGCTTCCTGCCGTCCACATAATAATGTCCACTTTCTGTTCCTGGGAATTCAAGGTCGACAGCTGTCTGGCTCTGACCCTTCAGCCTGTTCTCCAGACCTATCGACTTCTTTTTCATCAGCTGCTCAGGGGATCCCTGCCCTTTCCCCCAGCCCCAGCTGGCTCTGTCCCCTTCTGGGCCCAGCTCATCTGTCACCTCCCCCATGAAGCCTTCTTCAATCTCTCTGCCCAGGCCAGCACCTGGTTTCTGTCTCAGATGGGGTCTGACCCTCTCCATGGCCCCAGCACAGGGATGGGCACCCAGGAAGACTCAGTAGACGGGTGTTGAGTGAGGGGACGAGCACATGGGTGGGTGGCTGGAAATGGGGGTTTCTGTGGCTGGGAATACTTCCTGCTGCAGGGGGTCCCCCTGTCAGGTGAATCAGAGAAAGACTCAGGCCCGGCTGAGAGCAGATGGACAGGCAGGAAGGCACATGGGTCTGCAGTTAGCTGTCTGTCCTGTTGGCAGGATGTGGGGTGATGAGGCTGCTTCATTTTTTTTTCTCATGGATCTGGCGTCAGACCGTAGCTGATTTACTGCCATGGCCTGGCCATGTGTGCTCGATTTTCACGGCCTGAATTTTCACTCAAAAATGCAGGACTTGAGAAGCCTCCCACTCCTTCGGTGGCTATTTTCTGGAAACCGGCCACTGCTGGAACATTTATTTCCCTAATTTCCCATGGAAACAGGATGTAGAAGGGTCTGTATCTGATCATTGCCCCCATGGTGCCCAGCACAGCTTTGTCACAGAGAGACGGATCAGGCAGGGCCTCTGCCTGGGAGGAGGTCCCAGGGTATGGGGAAGACACAGCAGTGACAGATAGAAATTGCTAGACCACATGTGGACCGCCAAGAGGGCCATGAGGGGTGGATGGTCAGTGAGCTGGGCCACTCTGGATGGGGAAGGGAGCTTGACCAGTGCAGGGATTAGGGGGCTTTATGAAGGAGGCGGTGTCACTGCTGGATCCCGAGGCGGGTAGCATCTGAAAGGTGGATTTGGCCAAGGGCAGATGCAGAAAAAAGCACCCCAGGTGGAGGCACCATGGGACAAAGGCCACGAGATGGAATGGGTGGGACGGCCCTGGGCACCAGGGATGGGGCATGCCCAGCCAGGAGGAGGGGACAGAGGAAATATGGCTTGGAAGGCAGCAGAAAACAGTTCCAGCACTTGTGTGCAGACACGTGCTGCTCCCGCTGCCAGCCTCCCTCTAGGTTTAGGCTTAAAAGGCCCAACAGCCCCAGATCACTTAAAGCCTAAAAGTTCAGGGCCAGGGTGCTTGAAATATACTAATTTCACAAGAATGATAACAAGTGCAAGAAAAAAGCCCACAACCCTGTGCAAACCAAATGGCTGCCAAGTTGCAGAGGAAAGGCAGGCCGTGCACGTGGCTGATGGCAGGTGGACACACGGCAGAGGAGGATCCTGCAGGGCAGAGTGTGGATGTGTTGGTCTCAGCTGGTCACTGTGAGCAGAGGACACAGTGCTTGTCTGAGGGGCTGAGCCATCCTCATCACGAGTTATTTCCTGAATGCAGCCAGCGATGGCCACCCCCGTTGTTTCCCTTGTTCGGATCTTGGGAGGGAGGCAAAGCAGTGGTTATCATCCTCACTCTGCAGATGAGGCAACTGAGGCCCAGAGAAGGGGAGGGATCAGTCTAACCCGAGTGCCCCAAGTCTGCTAATGTCGGCAATCATGGAAACAGCCCGAGCACCGCTAGGCCTGCCGGTCCCCGGGGCCCCTGAGTGGGAGGTGCTGTGCTGAAAGCTTCAGTTCTGGGGGGTGGGAGCAACAGCCAGTTGGCGCTTGGGGTGCCCTGCTTTACCTCGCTCTTAGCAAGGAGGGCAGGTAGGGGCTAAGGGTGTAGTCCTTAAGTTGGGAACAAACCCGACTCGGTGGCTGCCTGCAGGCTGCATATTGGGCCACAGAGGATCCCGCAAGGATGAAGAAATGGGGTAGCTCAGACTTGGGGGAGTCTGAGGACCCACTCCAACAAGACTTCTGCCCAGACCCCCTGGATGGAGACCCTGACTCCAAGCCACCTCCAGCCAAGCTCCACTTCTCCACGGCCAAGAAGCGCACCAGGCTCTTTGGGAAGGGCGACTCGGAGGAGAAGTCCTCCATGGACGGCTCTTATGAGGAAGGCGAGCTGGCCTCCTGCCCGACCATCACAGTCAGCCCAGTTGTCATCGTCCAGCGGCATGGGGATGGCCCCACCTGTGCCAGGTGAGTCTGCATCTGGAGCCCCCTCCCTGCCAGGAGATGCCACATGGTGGTTGGCGTCTGGGCTAAAGTCATAGAGCCAGGGTGCTGGGGTCCTTCGAGGTGGTCTGGTCCAGGGTCTGCACTCAGACGATCTCACAGGACACATGGTCACAGAGGCTGGTGCATGCACTAACCCCAGCTGCCGGCTGACCTCTCGGTGTCCAGGCCTGGAATGCTCACCAGCCCCAAACACTTGGACTTTATGTGCAAAAGCTCAAGGCCAGGAGGCTTTTGGACAGTGAGTATGAAACAGCAGGGCAGGGAGGGCCCACAGGCTGGCTGTCTTGGGGAGCTGAAGGACTCCTTTTCCCTTAGCAGGAGCCAAACCCTTGCCTCCAGCCCCCACCGGGGTATGGCCTCTTGAGCCCCAGTTCCCCCGCAGGCAGAGAAGCGAGGGCTCTGGGTGAAGGAGGTGGTGGTGCTGGTGAAGACTTTCTAGATGGTGTTTACAGACAGGGGACACATGTGCCCCACTGTCCCCTGTTATGTTGGCTTCCCGGAAAGTCACCTGGATTGAGGGGTGGTTTTTGTATCATGTTTTTTCCCCTTCTGGTCTACCTTGGAGTTTAGCTGTGTTTCCCTGACAAGCTCTGAAGGCAGCAGGGTCGAGCAGAGACCAGGGCACAAGAGGAGGGTATTTTGTGGCCTGCAGGCAGCTGTCCCAGGACTCTGTCCCTGCTGGCGCCGAGAAGATCCTCAAGCTGTATGATCGCAGGAGGATCTTCGAAGCCGTCGCTCAGAATAACTGCCAGGAGCTGGAGAGCCTGCCCCTCTTCCTGCAGAAGAGCAAGAAGCAGCTCACCGACAGCGAGTTCAAAGGTGTCCCTGGGACGGCTGGGTTCCTGGGAGGGCCCCGGCCCCATCCCTGCTCTGACTCTGCCTTTGTCATTCAGACCCCGAGACAGGGAAGACCTGTCTGCTGAAAGCCATGCTCAACCTGCACGACGGGCAGAACGACACCATCCCCCTGCTGCTGGAGATCGCCCGGCAGACGGACAGCCTGCGGGAGTTTGTCAATGCCTGCTACACGGACAGCTACTACAAGGGTGAGAGGGCAGTGGGGTCGGGCATGGCTCAGCTGCCTGGAACCAGGAGGGCATGGTCCTGCCTGGGGCCTCCTTTCTGCTCTGAGTTCCCTACTTCCTGTCCCAGCCGCTGTGTTGGTGGCTCCTGGTCCTGGGGGTCCCTGCCTCTCCCATTGGCTGGTTTGATTTCTCCTGGTTCCGATGGTCCCTGCCTTCCTCATTTGCTCTCTCCTCCCTTGGCCCGCGAGGTCCCTGCATCCTCCTGTGAGCTTGGTGGTCCCTCCCTGGAAGTCATAGCCTCTGGCCCCTCTGCTACTGTTCTTTGCAAAATTCCTGGGTTATTTTGACTCCTCTGCCTTCCAATATGGTATCTCCTATTCCCAGGGTCTCTATTCCTGCTTCAGGACCTCCCAGAGTCCTCTTGGGGGATCCTGGCCTGGCCCCCTGCAGTGGGGGTCAGCCAGGCACTTTCTGCCCAGGTCCTCCTGTAGCAGCTGCTGACTGCCCAGGCTCCTCCCCAGCACCTGTCCGGGCAACCCCGCAGGACTGTGACCACATAGCCAGCGCCATGTGTCCTCTGTAGGCCAGACGGCACTGCACATTGCCATTGAGAGGCGGAACATGGCGCTGGTGACCCTCCTGGTGGAGAATGGAGCAGACGTCCAGGCTGCGGCCAACGGAGATTTCTTTAAGAACACCAAAGGGCGGCCTGGCTTTTACTTTGGTAGGGAGACCATGTGTCAGACACTTGGCTTTTTGGCGTTTGCTAAGGGAGATTTGGGCCAGAGGCAGAGGGGGCTGGAGGCCTGGTGGTTCACTCCCAAGGCCCCTGTGTTGGCTGCAGGTGAGCTGCCCCTCTCCCTGGCCGCATGCACCAACCAGCTGGCCATCGTGAAGTTCCTGCTGCAGAACTCCTGGCAGCCAGCTGACATTAGTGCCAGGGACTCCGGGGGCAACACGGTGCTGCATGCACTGGTGGAGGTGGCCGACAACACGGTCGACAACACCAAGTTTGTGACAACCATGTACAACGAGATTCTGATCCTGGGGGCCAAACTCCACCCTACGCTGAAGCTGGAGGAGCTCACCAACAAGAAGGGCATGACACCACTGGCCCTGGCCGCTGGCAGCGGGAAGATCGGGGTAGGAGGAGGCTTTGGCCCAGGCTGGGAGTGTGACTCGAGACGGTGTTGCGGGAGAGGACGGCCCACCTCACTACGGGTGCCTGGCTTGGCTGCCACAGTGCATGTGGGACTCTGATTCTGTCACACCAGCTTGCAGGTCTGTTAGACTACGTCAGAGAAATTGGGAGCAGCTGGGCAGAGCACAGGACTTCTGATTTCCAACTCTGAGCATTGGCAACAAGATATGGGGTGGGGGTGGGCTGCTGGGGCCTGGGGCGGCAGGGGGTCAAGCTAGGGTGAAACAGAAAAAGAAGCTGCTGGTGTTTGTCCATGGAAGGCAGGAATTTTGGGTGACCGGGAGGTCCTAAGGGGAGAGTGTGAGGTAGGGCAGGCCCAAGTGAAATCAGGAACCACAGGAGGCCGATGGTGGGGTTGGGGCTGCTGGGAATTGGAGGGGAGGGGGTGTCCCAGGCCCAGGGGATTTTGGAAGCCTGCCCCTTCTCAGATGAGCCCCTTAGGATGAAGAGCTTGGCTTTATGATATTGGTTTCATTTCTCAGATTTTCTATTTATGTCCTCCTGGCTTGAGGTTTTCTAGAATGGACACCACTGTCCTTCGCTGTGATATGGTAGAGCTAGGGGCCCTGGTGTGATGGGGCGGTGGGCCCGACGTGGCTGCAGGTGGAGTCAGAGGCAGTGGTGGGTTGATGCTGATGGTGGTCAGGATGGTGGTCAGGTAGGGGCTTACCTGGGGCAGGGCTGGGAAGCAGAGTTATTCTCCAAGCAGAGCTGGTGGCTGACATAGGGGTGCTCCTTGTGGCTCGGCCCCAGGCTGGCCTCTAATGGGCTCCTGTTCCCCGGTGGCAGGTCTTGGCCTACATTCTCCAGAGGGAGATCCAGGAGCCTGAGTGCAGGCACCTGTCCAGGAAGTTCACCGAGTGGGCCTACGGGCCTGTGCACTCCTCGCTCTACGACCTGTCCTGCATCGACACCTGCGAGAAGAACTCGGTGCTGGAGGTGATTGCCTACAGCAGCAGTGAGACCCCCGTGAGTGGCAGGGCTGGGACACAGCCAGGGAGTACTTCGGGGCCATCACACTCCAGCCCCAGCCCCTGGCCCGGCTCCCCTTGTCCTCCCATCAGTGCAATCCTACTGCCTGGGCCAGGCCCCGCAGCCTCCTCTTCCCTTTCGTTCCCACTGAATGTTTTCCCTAAGCATACTGACAGTATGTGATTATGGCCCCATAAAGATTGGAACATCTCAGAGGTACATAGACAAAAGGGACCCTACTTTAATATCATTTAAAAATGTATAATTTCATTTTGTTTACAGAAATGGCATCATGCTATACATAATGTAGAAGAACCTGGTTTTTCACTTAACGGCATGTCTTGTAGATAGTTTTATATCAGTACGATAGGTCTGCCCCATTAAAAAAATTGCCACATAGTATTCCATAGTAGGGATGGGGAGTAAGTGGCCATAGGATGACATTTGGCTTATTTCCAGTTTTTGCTACTACAATACTGCAGGCCACTTGGCATGGGATTGGGAGTTTTTCAAGGAAGGCTACCTGGAATTGGAATTGCTAAATCAAAAAGTATGTTCACTTAATATTTGAATGCTACTGAATGGACACACATGCCTACCCTGTGGGTACGTCTTTGCCCATATCCTTGCCAACCTGGATATTAGCAATCTTTTTGTAAAACTACTTTAAATCAACGGAGCCAAAAATGCTATCTCATTAATGTCTTAACTCTCGTTTTCTTGATCACTGTGAGGCTGAGCATTTATTTGTGTTTTTTGATCTTTCGTATTTCTTTGGTAGATTTCCTATGGGTTGTCCTGTGCGACTTCTCCTGGGACGGTTCGTCTCATCGTGTTTGGTTGTAGACGCTGTCGTTACAGGGTGGATTGATCCTTCCTCTGTGGCATATGTTGCAAATATTCTCTTTTCTCTCAGTCTGTCTCCTGCCTTTTAACTTCATTTATGGCACCATTTGCTTATAAAAGGTTTGCATTTTGATAGGGTCAAATGGGTGAGCCTTTTTCTTTTGTAGCATCCGTGACTTGTGTCTTGCTCGAGAGGACCTTTTCCACTTCAAGATCACACACATATCCTTCCGTATTTTTTTTTTTTTTTTTAGCTCCCTAACAGGTATTTTATGTTTGGCACTTCAATTATCTAGAATTTGTTTTTGTGTAGGTGTGAGGTAGGCATCTTACTAAGTCATTTGGCTCCAAATAAAGGTCTCAGTGTGACTTATTGAACAGCCCATCCTGCCACCACTGCTTTGAAAGGCCACCTTACCTGCCCCTTCTTTCCAAGGTGATGCTCTGGGCTTCTAAGGCAGACTTTTGGGCTGGAGTCTGTGCTGTCGGTGATGAGGGGCTGCGTATGTCTCGTAGGTCAGGGGCACATTTACAGGAGGTGTTCAGGTGAGGAGAGGCCTGGTCTACTCTGCTCCGTCAACCCCACCGGGGCCGAATCTGGGCCTCTGACTCAGAGCCCCGGATGCAAAGGTTCTGGGAGGAGTAGCCCAGATAGGAAACAGCCTCAAAAAGAACTTTGGTGTTTGGCCTGGAGAAAGGAGGCTCTGGAGCTACCACTGCTGCCTCCATGTCTCCGAAAGCTCTCAGGGGCTAGGAGTGTGGACTTGTCCTGGGGCTCCTTGGGCAGAGCTGGGACCATGGTGGGAAGCAGAGAGGACCAGTGTAACGCTGAGGAATAGATGTTCCCCGCGGTTTGTGCATCTCCAGAGGCTTCTCAGGTGGTAGAGAGGTGTTCAAGATGACACTGAATGGGGACCTCATCGAGGGAGCTCACGCTCGAGCTGGGGGTTGGGCTCAATGGCCTGAGAGAGGCCAGGATGATCTGATTTCAGGTCATCTATCCCAGGGACACTTGAACTTTTTTTTTTTTTTTTGAGACAGAGTCTTGCTCTGTTGCCTGGGCTGGAGTGCCATGGCTTCAGCCTAGCTCACAGCAACCTCAGACTCCTGGGCTCAAGCCATCCTACTGCCTCAGCCTCCCTAGTAGCTGGGACTACAGGCATGCGCCACCATGCCTGGCTAATTTTTCTATATATTTTTAGTTTTCCAGATAATTTCTTTCTATTTTTTTAGTAGAGACGGGGTCTCGCTCTTGCTCAGGCTGGTCTCGAACTCCTGAGCTCAAACGATCCGCCCACCTTGGCCTCCCAGAGTGCTAGGATTACAGGCGTGAGCCACCGTGCCCTGGCAACACTTGAACTTTAACAAAGTCCCTGGATAAGAGACTTTTGCCCCAAAGCATGATGGAATCCAGACCCTGGGGTCACCCACTACTCATGCATCGGTAATCGCCACCTCTGCCCCACCCAGGGCTGGAAATGTGAGAAGCGAGGAAGCCAGGGGCTCTTCCCTGCCTGCCCTCAGCCGCTGCCGAGCAGCCCCACGCCAGGTCCTGCCTGAGCCGGCTTCTTTCCATGGCGGGAATGAGGAGGAGGCGGGCTCTCACGAGGGAGTGATTGGAGATAGCGGGCGAAGCGTGTGGCTCAATACTGTGGGCCCTTCAGTGAGCACTTAGGGCTTGTCCAAGTCCCCGCCATTCACTGCACCCAAAGGGACACTGAAGCCAAGAGGGTGGCTCACTCAGCGATTTGCGGCAGAGCTGGTTCAGACCTCCTCCTCCGGCCGAGGCATGGTCAGGCAGGGGCTGTCCTGGTGACGAGGACGTGAGCAGCGCCACAGGCTGGTGTGGGCGTGCAAGGCGGTTCCTGGTGGGGGGAGCGAGCCTCACTTCTCTTTGCTCCCTCTAGAACCGCCACGACATGCTCTTGGTGGAGCCGCTGAACCGACTCCTGCAGGACAAGTGGGACAGATTTGTCAAGCGCATCTTCTACTTCAACTTCTCCGCCTACTGCTTGTATATGATCATCTTCACCGTTGTCGCCTACCACAGGCCTGTGGATGGCTTGGTGCGGCCAGAGGCTCAGGCCTCGGTCAGGGGTGGGGGGGGGCGGGGATGTAGAATTCCCATAAGCCCCACTGGATCCCAGGCCCAGGCCCTGCCCTGGACTTTTCCGCAGCTTGCTGGAGCTACAGAAAGATCACCTGGAGAGCCTGCCGTCCCTGTGCTCAGCTTCCCTCTCAGGCTGTCCTGGTGATGGTCCTCAGCCCCTTTCCTTTAGCCTTGAGGTCTGGGGAGGCTGACCATGTGGTCATTGAGGTCCCTGGTGGCAGAGGGGAGTGCTCGGTTAGAAAGCAAGCAGGAATTAGGGCAGAGGAAGCAGCTTGGCCCTGGCCTGGGTGTCTGCAGGGAGAGGGGGTGGTATGAGCCCTGAGCCCTCCGCCATCTTGCTGGCCTGCCCTCTTTTATTCACCCGCTCGCTCATTACGCATTCTCTGGACTTACACTTCTGAGCACTCCTTCTGTGCCAGGCCCTGGGCCATCTGTAAAATCAGCCTAAGACCAGAATTTTTCCTCTGCCAGGAGCCATGTACTCCATGGAATTCCTGAATTGGGTCCTTCTCTTTCCAGACCCAGGGCACTTAACTTGCTGCCTTTATTTCCAGGGCATCTTGCTTGTAAATTTGGTTTTAAAAACTCCACTTCATATTTAGGTGAAACCTGATTCCTATCCACCTATGAAGACCGTAGAATGACTTCATTTTAACAGAAAAAAGAAATGTGCTAGTAAGACAACTCCTTGCACCAGTGCTTAGGAGACAGTGATAGTAAGCTGAAAGGAAACCCACTTCAGGAAATGGGGGCTGACACGCAAGGACAAAGCCTCCATGTGTGTATGGGATCGTCTCTTCCTCTGTTGTCCATGGGGGTCCCTGACACTCCTGGGACAGCAGGTGTTCACGAGGGCTGTGGGGGCAGCAGGACTCCTATGGCAGTGGGACTGTAAAGGCTCCTCCACTTCCACCTCTCCCATCACCTTGCTCCCAGCCAAGGGGAGCTCTGGCCTGCGGCGACATTGTCTGGGAGCAGCACAGCACTGCGAGGACATTCCGCTTGGCACCTGGAGGCTGCTGCTTTGAGGAATTAGGCCCCACAGAGGGGCCTCGTTGCAAATGTCCCTATAATAATGCATCGTCTCTGTGTGTTTCTCTCTTGATAGAGGCTGTGCCTTCTGGGCAGGGGCTGGGTGCTAATCACAGAGCTTGGTACCTGGTAAATGTTTGTTGAATGAATGAATTAGTAAGTAAATGGCATCACCCACTTCTCTGCATCTCACAGCCTCCGTTTAAGATGAAAAACACCGTCGAAGACTATTTCCGAGTCACTGGAGAAATTCTGTCTGTGGCAGGGGGAGTCTACTTCTTTTTCCGAGGGGTAAGCATTCCTTCCCACTCTGTGAGTTTCCCTTATCACCAAGACAAAAAGCTAAGAGAAGCACTCACTGCTCACTCACTTTTTTATTCATCAGATACACCGCAATCATAGATGATGTATTATAGGTACGGCTTTTGCAAGAAAGGTGATGTAAAATCCCAAACAGTGGTCCCGCATTCAAGGACAAGCTTATTTCCACATTAGAAAAACAGCCCAGGATTGTGCATATATGACTTTTGAGTTAAAATAAAATGATTTGAGGCATTCACAGCTGGTGTGTGTGTGGGAGCGTGACTGCCCAGTGCATGCCCACAGACCAGGGTAGTCAAGCTTGCAAACAGACAAGCAGGGCTCTTCCCGGTGAGCATGTAATACATAATTGTAGAAGTAGAGTGGAAGCCTCTTAAGGGATCACGACTGGTAGTTGTTTAATTAATCAAAATAGTCTGTTAAAGCTCAGAACAATGAAGTAAATCTACATGTATACTGGAATCATTTTATTTTAACAGAAATCATTTATTTTAACTGAAAATTCACATGTACATGATCCTTGGCCATTTTCTAATGTAGGAGCAGTCTTGTCTTTGTGGGACCACTGTTTGGAATTTTACATCATCTCTCTTGCAAAAACCATACCTGTAATGTATCATCTATAATTTCTAGTTTCAGCTTCTTTAAGGAGGAACTAGAACTTAGATGTGTACAAAGAGATCTGAATGAAGAATTTGAGATAATTGTGATTATTTAAACCCCCAATCTTTTGGGTTTATGCTATACCCAGTTTTTTTTTTTTTTTGGCTTCCCTTTATGGAGTCTTTCCAAGTCACTGGACTTTGTCTTCACAGAAACAACTGTCTTTTTTTTCACACTCATAATTTACATTGTAATAAAGTACAAAGCCATAAAAGCACTCCTGGCAGAGGCAGGACTGACCCGGGGGAGGGAGCAGAGGCCTGTGGGTGTCCTGGTGAGGGCCTCGCAATGGTTCATCGGGTGAGTGAGTTCAGTGGAGGCTGGTTAAGAGAACTTTTACTCTAATGCTTACTTAAAATTATGAAAACAAAGAAGCACCAATTCAAAAGAAGAAAAAAATTGCCCAATCCCATCACTTATTCATAGCAATTGATAACATTTTGGTGATTTTCTTTCCTGTCTTTACTTCTAGGTATAGTTGTAAATCCACTCTGTATTTTAAAAAATCTCTCTGACCACCTAACATCACCCCATTGGCTTGACCCGGGCTGTTTCACTCTTTTCATAACCTCTGCTTCAGCGCACGCCACTGCCCCATGGTGGCGCCCTTTAGAAAGCGTTCCAGGTGCTCACCATTTGGCGACATCTAACATTGCCTGGGATGTGACTTGGTCTGTTTACCTGCAGATTCAGTATTTCCTGCAGAGGCGGCCATCCGTGAAGGCCTTGTTTGTGGACAGCTACAGCGAGATGCTTTTGTAAGTGACACTTTGATCCTTGTACCTCTTTTGGCCCGGTCCTGAGGAGACAGCAATCAGTTCTTACTCATTCTCTCACTTACGCTGGGCCTGGCACATGGTAGGACCTCAGTGAAGGAATGATGGAAGGCATTCAGTAAGTATTTGTTGGCTGAATGAGTACTGAGGGTCTACGCTGTGCCAGATATGCACCCAGTGCTGGGGATTGACAAATTGTGCCCTGGGCTCATGTGACTTAGAGCCTGAGTTAGATGTACCCTTGTTCACCTTTCCATCCATTTGTCTATCCATCTGCCATTTACTGGGCTGGCACTGGGACACTGAGATGAAATAGACATGGCTCCTGCCTTCAAGGAATTTCCAATCTTTAAAGCCGGGTTCCTCAAGCTTGGTACAAGCTTGGTACTAGCTCTGTGATTAGCACCCAGCCCCTGCCCAGAAGGCACAGCCTCTATCAGGAGAGAGACACACAGAGACAATGCATTATTATAGGGACATTTGCAACGAGGCCCCTCTGTGGGGCCTAATTCCTCAAAGCGGCAGCCTCCAGGTGCCAAGCGGAATGTCCTCGCAGTGCTTTGCTGCTCCCAGACAATGTCGCCGCAGGCCAGAGCTCCCCTTGGCTGGGAGCAAGGTGATGGGAGAGGTGGAGGTGGAGGCGCCTTTACAGTCCCACTGCCATAGGAGTCCAGCTGCCCCCACAGCCCTCGTGAACACCTGCTGTCCCAGGAGTGTCAGGGACCCCCATGGACAACAGAGGAGGAGATGATCCCACACACACATGCAGGCTTTGTCCTTGCGTGTCAGCCCCCATTTCCTGAAGTGGGTTTCCTTTCAGCTTACTGTCACTGTCTCCTAAGCACTGGTGCAAGGGGTTGTCTTACTTGCACATTTCTTTTTTCTGTAGTACCAAGTACATTTTAGACTGGATAATTCTTACTTGTGGTGGTGGAGGGGCTGCTCTGTGCATTGTAGAATATTTAGCAGCATCCCTGGCCTCTACTACTAGATGCCTGTAGCTCTCCCCATCACTTAGTCTTAACAATCAAAAATGTCTCCAGATATTGCCCAAAGGCCCCCATTTGAGGAGGGGATGCCAGAATCACTCCTGGTTGAGAGCCACTGCTTTAGGAGGAGACAGATGAGCAAAAACAGTTATAGAACAATGTGGATGTCACAGGGAACCCCCTTTCTTTAGAAAATGAGCTGGAATCTTACTATGTGGTTATGGAATAATTTTTTGTTTTAACCAGTATTCAGTATTTACATTCGTATGCCTCTGTGAATATTGACAGTTGAGCTTCACAATATTCTATAATATTCCTTTTCTTTTTTTGTTTCTTCTGAAGTTAATAATTACCTTGTTTTTCACTTGTTTAGTTTTCTTTGTGCTTGTTGCTAATTCTTCCCACACCTCCCCAAATCTCTCAGTATAATTTCCCTCAAAATCAGTCACATAAATTGCATTATCAGATTTTCCCCCACTCCTTTTTTTTTATTAAGTGATTTCTTCTTGTAGCCCTGTCTTCTCTTTCTAACTGGGCTGGTTGTTCTCTAGGCCTGCTGCTCAGCTGTCATACTGGAACTTCTCTTTGCTGCCAGCCTTGGAATTCTCATTGCTTTCCCCCTAGGTTAGAGTTCCTGTCTCTTTTTCATACCTTCCTGTTTCTTGGTTTTCCCCCTTGTTTTATTTGAGCACATCCTTCAGTATTTTCATCTGATGAAAAACGAGGGTATAATGGTAGAGGGCAGAGTGATGACAGCTTTCAGTGTGCCTGAATCTTGAATCACATCGCTCCAATGTGTACAGGCATCATTCCTTCACTAACATCTTGGAGATCCCTTTCACTTTTCTCCTGACTTGGATCTCTTATTTTCTGAACCAAATGTCTTCCTCTTTCCTGGTTTACTTCTTTGTTTTGGAGGAGGACATCTTGAACCAAAGAGAGAAGACACATAGTGGGGAAGGGGGGAGTAAAATTTCATTTAAATCTTGTGTGTCTGAGAATATCTTTGTTATATCATCACATTCAGTTGATAGTTTGGTTGGGTATAAAATTCTTTAAAAAACTCAAAGATATTTTTCCACTGTTTCTTAGCTTCCAATATTATAGATGAAACCACTCTGATTCTGGATCCTCTTTTAAGATCTGTTTTGATTTTTCTCTTTGTATCTTCTTTATGCCCCTAGTATTCTGAAACTTAATGATGCATTTTTATATGGGATTATTTTTATCCAATCTTCTAAGCACTTAGTGGGCTCTTTCAATCTGAAAATTTATGTCCTTTAGTTTTGGGATATTTTCTTGAATTATTTCTCAATCACTCTTCTAGAAACCCTGTGATTCATATATTGAACCTCTTGAACTAGCCCTGAACTAGTTTTCTTATGTTTTCTCACTTGTGTTCAATCTCATTATATTTGTCTCTACATTTTGGGAGGTTCAAATCAACTTTAATTTCTAAACTTTCTATTGAGTTTATCATTTTTGATATCATGCTTTTAATTTCTAAAGGCTTTAAAAAATTCTCTTCATTCTTTATTTATAGTACTCTATTCTTGTTTCATGGATACAATATCGTCTTTTGTCTCTCTGAGACCATTAAGATAGCTTTTTAGAAGTTTTTCTTCTTTTTGCCTATTTTTTCTTTTCTCCAAGTTGTTGTTTCCCATTTGTTTGTTTGTTTTTTCTCTTTTGTGTTAGAGCCCTTCCCTCAGAATATCTGGGAATCCTTGGCATCTACTTATGATTAGAGTGGAGGACTGAGAAGTGGGGCTGGATGGGGCTTATCAATTTTTTGCTTCACTATAGGCTGATCTAGATAAACCATTTATTGAATAATTCCTGAAGTCAGTCTATGAGGATCTTTCTTCTTGGGGTTATCAGATTTCACAGAGAGCATTTTCTCAATCTTCTACTTGGAGAGAAGACATCTGGTTGCAAGTTTTCTGAGAGATGAGTTAGGAAAGAGGGCTTTCTATAATCTGGATTATATACAATCACAAAATCTCCCTGTTTTTTGGCAAAATACCAATACTTTCAATGGTTCTGGATGGACCTCGATCCAGAGACCCTCTGTTTTATCTACTTTGGAGACAAAATCTCTGTTGTTCCTTATTGTAGGCCCTTCGTTGCCTCCCCTCTGGGAGACCTTCTGAAGTTCCTTGATTCCAAGAATCGATTCTCAGCTTTCCCCCATGCTGGCTTCAGGTTTCGCTTTCTTGTGTCTGCTAAGTCACTTTCCATTGTTCATTGTTTTCCAACTCCCCCAATTCATGTGGGGGGACCCCGTTTGTTGCCAGAGATAACCTTTTACCTATTTCAACTGGCATCAGTTCTCATTTTGGCCTGGGGTTCCACAAATGCTGAGCAATGTTTTTTCATTGCAGCAGAACTAGAAAACAGACTCTAATTGAGCCAGTTTATTGACACCATTTTTCAACAGACTCCCAGCAGCACAATGTTGGCTTCTTGCTGGGTTCCCTGACACAAATGGGAGGCAAGGTGGTCAGTATGCTCTACCGTGTAAATGCAGCCAGGGGGGCTTTCTGGAGGATGCCACAGTGAACAAGGGGCCATTGAGCAGACCCTGTGATAGGATCATCCAGCTGTCCTCCCCTCTGTCCAGGGCCCCTACTTGGATACCCTCCACTGGACTAAGGGGCTGAGGGACATTTTCCCTGGCTCTGCTCTTTTCGAGGGCATGATCAGCAGACACTCCCAGTGGTTTTTCAGGAGAGCATGGCCTCCCCCTGCTCCCTGGCCTAGGGCTTCTAGGTTATCTGATGTCCAGTGAGGCTCTTATTCCTGGGGACTGGGCAGGAAGTTTGTTGGGGCTGAAGTGGTGTTTCTCAACCTTTTAAAATTATTGCCTTTTTAGACATGTTTTTCTAATCCCCCCTTTGAAATTTTAATGCCATAAGTATACTATATATCTTTTATATTTAAATCTGTGCTTTATACATAAAAGAATAAGATTTTGTACCGGCTCTGAGCCAATTTTTGCCCCTTGGGTGTGAGCTTGCTCTCTGAAGGAGCCCCTGCTACCTGGGCAAAAGGCGGCAGGGCAGCCCAGTCCTAGCTACTACCATAGACTAAGTCTGGGCCTCTGAGGAGAGGCCCAAGCAGCCTGGGGGCGCCAGGCCTCCCTGGTGCCCAGAGACAGAGCTTCCTGTCCCTCCTTCCTCAGCTTTGTACAGTCACTGTTCATGCTGGGGACCGTGGTGCTGTACTTCAGCCACCGGAAGGAGTACGTGGCTTCCATGGTGTTCTCCCTGGCCTTGGGTTGGATCAACATGCTCTACTACACCCGCGGCTTCCAGCAGATGGGCATCTATGCTGTCATGATCGAGAAGGTTGGTGCCCTGTACCCCAGTGGGAGCCCCTCAGAGCCCCGCTTGCCTCAGAGGTATGTGAGACTGTCCCACAAGCTCTGTCCCTGATCTCTGCATTGTCAGGGGAGGTGCTGGCTTAGCTCCCAGCCCATTTCCCAAGACCCAGGAGATCTAGCCTTGATCCAGGTGTGGGGGGGTCCCCTGACACTGATCCCTGTGCATACCAACCCCCCTGGTGCCCCCCTGCTCCTGGCCAGAACAAAGGCTGTGGGGGGAGGTGTGGATGACTCCCTCATGACACCTGAGCTGAAAACCACCAACCCAAACTCTCCTGAATGTTCCCCTGATCAACCCCCAGGCTGTTGCAGTCCTGGCCCTTCCCTTAGCTCCTCCCTGGGCCTGGCCTTGGCTCTGATATACCTGCTTTCTCCTGCAGATGATCCTGAGAGACCTGTGTCGTTTCATGTTTGTCTACGTCGTTTTCTTGTTTGGGTTTTCCACAGGTAACCGGCTTGGGCAGGGCTGGTGGGAGGGCAGGACTCCTGCTCCCCTCGACTTCCTGAGGACTCTGCCAGGGGCTGGGTGAGGAGGAGCCAGGTAGGGTAGGCAGGTACCTGTCTGCAGGTGACACGCACCTGCAGAGTGGATGGACAAAGGACACACCAACGTGACCCCGAGAACTTGTAAATGTGATTCATAAAATGTTTTAAGTAACTTTTCAGGTAGGAAGTGCTGCTTGCCTGAAGTATAGCTGCATTTTGGCTCAGGTTTTAAAAAAACTTTTTATTTCTACATTATTTCAGGCTTACAGGAAAGTTGTAAGAATAGTACAAATAACTTCTCTATACTCTTTACCCAGATTCTCCAAATTTTACCACGTTTGTATCACTTTCTCTCCTCCTATACACACATGCACACACACGCACAGACACACATGTACCCTGCACTTTAAAAAGACTGAGAGTAAGTTGCAAACAGGAAACACTAGCTACTTCACAGTGTATTTCCTAAAAGAAAGAACATTCTCTTACATAAACACAATACAATGATCAAAATCACGAAAGTAACATTGATACACACTCTTAGCTAATCTATAGCCCTCCCTCGAATTCCACCAATTGTCCTAAGAATAATGTCTCAGGAACATCCTGGAGCATGTTTTACAACCTGTTGTGTCACACCCCTTGAGTCTCCTTTAATCTAGAGCAGTTCCTCAGTCTTCCCTTGTCTTTTGTGACCTTTTTTATGAGTAAAGGCTAGTTGCTTTGTGCAATGTTTCTCAACTTGGGTGTATCCTGATGTATCCTCATGATTTTATTCGGGTATGCATTTTTAGCCAGACTATCAAGGAAATGATGTGCGTCTTCTTCATTGCATTTTATCAGGAGTCACAAGAAGTTTGTTTGTCTCATTTCTGGTAATGTTAACTTTGATTACTTGGTTTTGGTGTATCTGCCAGATTTTTCCATTGTAAAGTTGCTATCTTTCCCTTTGTAATCGATAAGTCATTTGTGAGGAGATGATTTGAGACTACATAAATATCCTGTTTCTCATTCAGACTTTCACCCAATAGTTAGAGCATCCATTGATGAATCCTACTGAATCACTTAATCTGATCATGGTGGCCAAATGCTGATTTTGTGACTCCATCGTTCCTTCCACCTTATTGGCTGACATTCTATTATGAGAAAGAGCTTTCCATCCCCCTATATCTATTTATGTATTTGTACCAGAATGGCCTCATGGATTCTTTTTTTTTCCCATGGATTTTCACTTTGTTAAATGGGTTATAATCCTTACTATCATCATTTATTTTGATACTCAAGTTGTCTGAGATTTAGTCATTGGAAGCCCCTTCACGCTGGCTCCTGTGCTCTTTAGACACATCCACAACATTTTTTGAGGACATGGCTCTGCTTTGATCCTCATCCAAGTCCTGCAATTATGTGGTTTGCATGGTACACCCTTCCCTGTCCCCACACTGAAGTTTGTTTTGGAATCTCTATCTTGGAGGGGTGGGCAGCTGTGACTAGGAGGGAGCTGGTAGGTGGGGGCTGTGGCACCTGGATCTGAAGATCCTGCATATCCGTAGGGACTTGGCTAGGAGGGTTAGTGGATACTGTTACTACCATGGTGCACAATTTCTACAGAAGATCTCAGGCTCTGGACTATACTTTCCCCAAAAGAGTGCAGAATGTGGGAATAGGCCATTCTGCTTTGAGCTACTCAGAATCCATGGTTCTGGTGTGGACCTCTAAGGGACCCAGGCAGACAGAGTGTGACTGACAAAGTGGGTATGGAACCAGGGCTGACATGTAAGGTTAAGCATGTTGTGCACTGCACAAAGGTGGCTGTATTCATATTATACATATAGATTTGTATGTTCATTTTAACATTTTTTCTAGCAGATGTTGATAAAGTTCTTATAACAAAACAGTGTATTATGACAACTTTTTGATAGTTTTCAAGAAGGGGTGCTTTAAAAAATTCCCACAAAAGCACCATTTGACTGAGCTTCATGCCTGCTGCAGACCCATCCTGGGGTAGTGGGGATGTATGTCAGGGCACCTGGGGTCTTGGCTTTCATCCAGCTGCACTCCTCCTTCCCTGCGCCCCATAGCGGTGGTGACACTGATCGAGGACGGGAAGAACGACTCCGTGTCGACTGAGTCCACATTGCACAAGGGGCGGGGGCATAGCTGCAGGCCATCCGACAGCTCCTACAACAGCCTGTACTCCACGTGTCTGGAGCTGTTCAAGTTCACCATCGGCATGGGTGATCTGGAGTTCACTGAGAACTACGACTTCAAGGCTGTCTTCATCATCCTCCTACTGGCCTACGTGATTCTCACCTACATCCTCCTGCTCAACATGCTCATCGCCCTCATGGGCGAGACTGTCAACAAGATCGCACAGGAGAGCAAGAACATCTGGAAGCTGCAGGTGGGTCGCTTGGTGGGGTGAGCAGCCAGGGGGCCGAGCAGCCAAGGGTCCCACGGGGAAGGAGATGGGGGGCTACCTTTTTGTGCCACGTAGGCCATTTCTACCTCCGCAGCCAACAATAACAAAGGTATCATTCCCATTAAGTAGCACGTACTCCATGATAGGTACTGTTTGAAGTGTCTTACCCGATCTCACTGAATCCTTGCAACAGTCCAGTGAAGTAGATTCTATTACTATCCTGTTTTTGGATAAAGACGCTGAGGCATAGAGGGTTTAGATGTCTGTATTCAAGGCCACACAGTTAGTAAGCAGCAGAGCCAGGATCCGGCCCAGGCGGTCTCACTCTAAGGCCCTGCTCTTAACCACTGCCCTATGTTGCCCCTCAGGGAAGGGGCTGGGACACTCCATGTCCCTCCTCAGGCTGCCCTGCCCAGACCCAGCAGGCACCAGCCGTGCCTGGACAGGTCTGAGGCTGGACAGGCTGTGCTCCTTTCGTGGAGTGTGTCCCCACTAGGCTATGGAAACAAACCTAGGGCAGAAGGCACTGGAGGTCCAGCTCGGAGGAGTCTGGGGCTGGGAGAGACCCTGGCAGGGCTGGTCCTGGCAGCCAGCACCAGCAGCCAGGGTTGCCCCTGCACGAGCCCTCGGCCCCTGCCTTTCCTGCCTTCCCGTAGAGAGCCATCACCATCCTGGACACGGAGAAGAGCTTCTTGAAGTGCATGCGGAAGGCCTTCCGCTCGGGCAAGCTGCTGCAGGTGGGGTACACACCTGACGGCAAGGACGACTACAGGTGGTGCTTCAGGTAATGCCCAGGCAGGAATGAAAGCTTGGAGAGCTCCAGGGCTCAGCTGTGGGCACAGGGGACCCACCTTAGATCTCGGCTGGCGGGATGCAGACATTAAATATTGGAAAATTTGAGGTGTCCAGAAAGGATCACCTAATGAGTGGGGTCAGAACCAGGAACCGAATACTTAAAGTCCCTGGGCTCCATGGTGTGGTCAGAGAACACATCTTCAGGACTGGTGTCCAAAAAGCAAGGCTCTGTAGGCGCTTCCCCGCCAGCTGGGCCTCCATCCTGCTCTATGGGCGTCTCAGGATTGGCCCGTGGGGCTGAGCCCTTGGCCTGGGACTCGGGGCATGGCTCCCAGCCTGCCAGCTCCCTGCTCCCCATCCCCTCACCCTGCAGAGTGGATGAGGTGAACTGGACCACCTGGAACACCAATGTGGGCATCATCAATGAAGACCCGGGCAACTGCGAGGGCGTCAAGCGCACCCTGAGCTTCTCCCTGCGGCCAGGCAGAGGTGAGGCGTGAGGGGCGGGTGCTGTGGCACGGAGGCTGGTGGTCTGAGGTTGGGCAGGTGGAGCCTTGTGGATCCCCCACTCCTTGCAGGCTCCCTCACGCCCCGTCCCCACCCCTACCCCAGGGCTCCGTAACAGCCCCTGATGGCAGCTGCATGCACACACTCAGTCACGGGCACTTGCGTGTACCTTGCACATGCCGTCATGGCTGACTGCTCAGCAAGCCCGTGCAAGCCACTGTGCCAGCAGCTGGCCCAGGCTCCTGTCCCCAGTGCCCCAGGGGAGGCAGCTCAGCCCACATCCAGCCACCTGGGGTGGCCAGCTCACGCGGGCTAACCTGCCTCCCTGGCCTGTCCCCCACACCCCAGGAGTGCACATCACCTCATGGCTCTGGGAGGCCGTATGGACACGCACAGGCACACGTGAACACTGACCTCTCATGGACACGTGCGGGCACCGCGGAGAGGAGGGGAGGGGGAGAGGAAAATGACCATCAGAAAGAAAGTCATTTAACAGTTATTGGTAAACATTTAACAATAAACATTGAATTAAAGGTCTAAAGAACATTTATTTAAAATGAAGTAAACATAGTTTATTCTGAACAAATTTTGAGTTATAATTACAACCGTACACTAATTCTTTGTTTTTAGTTTTTAAAAAATTGTGGTAAAGTATGTATCACATGAAATTTGTCATTTTAACCATTTTTAAGTATACAATTCAATGGCATACAACATTGACATTGTTGTGCAGCCATCACCACTATTTCCAGAACTTTCTCATCATCCTAAACTGACACTCTGTACCCACTAAGCAGTAAGTCTCCGTTCTTTCTTCCCCTCATCCCCTGGTAACTTCTATTCTGTTTTCTGTCTCTATGAATTTGTCTATTCTATGTACCTCATATTGGTGGAATCGTGCAATGCTTGTCCTTTTGTGTCTGACTGAATAATATTCCATTGCATGGATACAGCACATTTTGTTTGTCCATTCATCTGTTGATTGACATTTGGGTTGTTTCTGCCTTTTTGTCTATTGTGAATAATGCTACGATCACTGGTGTACAAGATACGGTTTGATTCCCTGCATTCAACGATTTTGGGTCTATGCCTAGGAATTGAATTGCTGGATCATATGACAATTCTATGTTTAACTTTTTGAGGAACTGTCAAACTGTTCTCCAAAGCAGCTGCGCCATTTTACATTCCCACCAACAGTGCATGGGATTTCTAATTTTTCCACATCCTCACCAACACTTGTTCTTTTCTTTGTTCATTCTTTCTTTCTTTCCTTTTCTTTTTTTAAAATTAAAGACATCCTAGTGTGTGTGAAGTGGTACTATATCTCATCGTGGTTTTGATTTGCATTTCCCCAAATGATAGTGAGCATCTTATCACGTGCATATTTGCTATTTGTGGATATTCTTTGGAGAAATACTTATTCAAGCCCTTTGTCTATTTTTAAATTTGGCAGTTTGTTTATTTGTAGTTGAGTCGTAGGAGTTTTTTATATATTCTGGATATTAATCCTCTATCAGATGTGTGATTTGCAATATTTTCTTCCATTCTGTGGGTTGTCTTTTCACTCTTTTGATGGAGTTCTGTAACACACAAAAGTTTTTAATTTTGATGAATTCCAATTTACTTAATTTTTTCTTTTGTTGCCTGTTATTTTGGTGTCATACCCAAAAAATCACTGCCAAATTAAATGTCATGAAGATTTTCCCCTATGTTTTTTCCTATGAGTTTTATAGCTTTAGCTCCCTACCATTTTAAAGTTGCTTTTTTCTTGATTTGGCAATTTCTTGGTTACTGTGAAACTGGAACTCTTTCCCAGAGTTCTGATAATGTTGGGTATGAAGTTTCTGCTTGTTTTTTTGATGTTTTTGTGAAGAGATGGGTTTTGGAGCTATCTACTTTGCCATTTTGCTGATGTCACCCTTGAACTAATTCTTGAACAAAGAATGAATCAAGTGTTAATAGTTGTTTTTGGCTTTTTAGACAGGGTGGGGGAAGGGACATAATTTTTCAGACCAACTAACCCGATATTATGATACTCCATGTTTCATATTTAATACTGCTTCATAGAGAAGCTCATTTTTATATTTTATAAACTTAAAAATCATCTTTATTTGGATATATTAAATAATTTACATATAAAATGAACACATTTTAAATGTGCAGTTTTATAAATTTTTACAAACGTACATGCTCAACCACCACCCAACTCAAAATATAGAACATTTCCATCCTGCAGGAAAGTACCTTGGGTCCCTTCATAGCCAATTTGACCCTCCCCATCCCAGGGCACTATTTGTTTAACTTCTATCACTATAGATTTGTTTTACATCAGCTTTTGTTTACTTGAAAACGTCTATTTTACCCTCATGTTTGTTTCATTGGATATAGAGTTCTAGCAGTTGTTTTTTTTTAAATTTCAACACTTTCTGTTTCTCCATGGTCTCCTGGCCTCCCTTGTTTCTGAAGAGAAATCATCGTTATTTGCATTGTTGTTCTCCGGTATGTAATATATATATCTTTTCTTCTTCTGGCTGCTTTCAAAATATTCTGTTTTATGATTTTCAGCAGTTTGACTAAGGTGTGTTTAGGTATGAATTTCTTTGTTTTTATCCTGCTTGAGGTTTGCTGAAATTCTTGGATCTATACATCAATATGTTTAATTAAATCTGGAAAGCTATATATACGTTGCTTCATTCTCCCTATTTTCTCCTTTTGGGACTCCAATTACATATATGTTAGACCATCTGATATTATCCCATAGGTCTCTGAGGCTTTGTTCATTTTTCCTCAAGTTTTTTTCTCTGTTTCTCAAATTTGATAATTTCTCTTGATCTGTCTTCAAGTTCACTGACCCTTTCCTTAGCCATCTCCAAATTGCTGTTAAGCCCGCCTACTGAATTTTACACTTCAGGTATAGTGCTTTTTGATTTTAGAATTTCTATTTGTTTCTTTTTTATATTTTTCATTTCTCTGCTGAGATTCCCTAGCCGATCCCTCATTAAGACCATATTTTCTTTTAGTCTTTTGAACATACTTGTAATAGCTGCTTTAAATTCTCTGTGTGTTAAATCCAACATCTGGGCTGTCTTGGGGTCAGTGTCTATTGATTGCTATTTTTCCTGACTATGGGCCACATAGTTTCTTTGTATATTTAGTATTTTTAAATCATATTTAGTATTTTAAAATAGTATACTGGGCATTATAGATAATATACTATAGAGACTCTGGATTCTGTTACTTTCCTTTAAAGAATATTGAATTTTTGCTCAGTTGGCAGTTCAGTTATTGATGAAATCACCTTGAACTTGTGTAGACTTAGCTTTGAACTTCATTATGGCAGATCTATAAACACCCTAAGTCATTTTCCAAGCCCATCAAACTTGGGGGACACAATCTCCAAACCCTGTCTCTACTGAGGATCTTGTCTGGGGTTGGTGTTAGGTTTTGTTGGGGTAGGCCTTGAGTAGGCCTTGCTCTAGGGCATGATCCTTACTCTAGGGCATGGTTCTCACTCCTAAGTGGGGTCCCTCTGGTATCTTACCTTGATCCTCAGAGTGTTTAAGGGTGTTAACAAGGTTTCTCCACTCTGGCTGGGCTGGACCTCCAGTATCCCCCAGTACTGCTCAACCCTTAATGTCTCTGTCCCAATTTCAACCCCATGGCAGCCACTTTCTAATAATCCTCCTGCAGTCTCACCATGAACAAGCACAGCTCAGCTCTTGGCCAAGGACTTGTGGGGAACCCGCTTGCCCCAAAGATTTCTGGGCTTCTACTCCCTTAACTCCTTCCTCTTCTCCTGTTCTCTGCCTTACACATTCCCCCTGCTTCAGCTGCCCCAAACTCTGGTTTCCTTCTCCTCAGTTCAAAGGCAATTCCATACTCTGCTTGGACTGCAGCTCACTGTGCTCTAGTTGGGGAAATCGCTCTAGAAGCTGAAAGTCAGTGTGATCATCACAGGGCTCACCTTGTGAATTTCACTCTCTCAGGGGTTGCAGTTTTTCACTGCCTGGTGTCCTTTGCCTAAAAACATTTGCTGCGTGTATTTTGCCTAGTTTTATGGGTGTTGATAGCAGGATGGCTAGCTCGGTACTAGATGCTCCATTATAGCTGGAAGTGAAAGTCTATTTTTATCAAAGCTTCATTTCTGGAAAACTGCTCAAGGTATTCACCCATTTTTCCACAGGCTTCCTGCACACATGTGATTTTTCTGAGTCTAATTAGAAGCACTCCCTGTGTTGCATCAAAATACTTATAGATTATCTCTTCTTCAATAGTTAACTGGTCTAACTTTGTCGGAGAGGTATTTGAAGATGGCGTTGCATGTGATTTTAGCAGTTTTCCCGTGTCAATCTCATAGATTGCATGAAATCCCACATCTTTGACAAGATTTGCTGTTTCACTTTGTGGTTGATTTGTATTATGTTTGCATGACATTGTCGGCAGTTTACAACATTGCACATTCACTGTGATATTACTACAGACATTGAGCCAGTGGCAGGGATACACCCATCTGTTTTAATTGGGTCAGGGATGGAGGATAGTTGGCGGTTGCCTGATTTCACGCTTATAATTAATTAGTGAATATTGCCTGAGGATCTTGCTTTCTTACTCAACTTTGTAACAGTAGAAATTCCAGTAATGAATAGTCAGATAATTCAGATGACAAGGACCTCTCCTCTCCTCACCAAACACGGTGTGTGATTGGAAGGGAGGAAGGGGGATGCATGAGAGAAAGGCCAGGGGAGAAAAGGGTTAGTAGAAGAGGGAGTGGGAGGATGTGACGGGCTCTGGGCATCAGAACTGTGGGAAGTGGGCACCAGATGTCCTGTGCTGACTTTGAAAGCCCTTGAACCAGGGCCAGGCCACGTAGTCCCTGAGGCTGGGTGTCCCCCACTGCCAGCCAGTAGACAGTATCCCAGCTGGCCTGTGTCCCCACAGAGCCCTCCTGCTATTACGCCCAGGTTCCCAGAGGGATGGTCCTTCAGCGGTTGGCGCCTGGTGTCAGACAGGCCAGTGCAGAATTCAGCTGGAGTAGTCACGACAGGACCAGCCTCTGGCATTGTGGTGCCTTTGAGATGTGGCCAGTGTTGGACACCAGCAGAGGGGCTGAGGCTGGGAGGTGTGAGTCTAGGCTGGTTTTCCAGCGAGATCTGACCCAAAGTGGCCCACCAGAGGGCTCGGCTGACCAGGGCTGTGGCAAATGAAAGGAGTGCATGCACAGTCTTCCCACCTCCCTGCCACTTGTCTGAGGTGGCCAGAGGCCGGAGGTGACTCTGGGGAAGACAACTGGGTCTTCCTCAGGAGCTTCCTGGGATTTCAGACCACACTTGAGGTCCCCATTCGAGGCCCAGTGTCCCTTTGCTTCCCTTGGCATTGTTCCCAATCTGCTATGCCCTGGTGGGGTCTGGACCCCAAATCCTGATTCTTTGGCTTGTGTTCATCACCCTGACCTGAATCAGTGTGGAGCCACTCACGGGGCAGGCCCAGCGTTGCTCTGTGGAGAACTCCTCTCCCTCCCGCTCCAGCAGGGAGAAAATGGAGGCCGAGAGGGGCAAGTGATGGACTCTCTTGAGGTCGCAAGCAAGTCAGGGTGGGGTGGAGGAAGAGTATTTAAGGGGCCAAGAGGGTGGATGAGACTCCTCAAACAGCTGAGGAAAGAAGACATTGCACTGATCCTGGTACCTCAGGAAGTGCTCGCAGGCCGGGGCCTCCTTTGAGGCCAAAAAGAAAATGTTTGTTTGTTTTGCTGCCTCCAAAGTAGTAATGATATTTTACCCTTCAGCTTCAGGGAGAAACTGGAAGAACTTTGCCTTGGTTCCCCTTTTAAGAGATGCAAGTGCCCGAGACAGACACTCTGCTCAGCCTGAGGACGTGCATCTGAAGCAGTTTTCGGGGTCCCTTAAGCCAGAAGATGCCGAGGTCTTCAAGAATCCCACTGCTTCCGGGGAGAAGTGAGGACCGCACACGGGGCACTCTCTGTGCTGGGCCCTCGGAGACCTCACTACCACGGGGGCTGTTGGGGAGCACCAGTGCTCTGTCAGCCGCCTGGCCCGCTCCGTGCCTGCCCAGAACTTCCTTGCCTAAGACTGCACTGGACAAGCTGTGGGAAGCATTGTCCCATACACGGGAAGAGATGCACCTCCAACCATCACTGTCCCCAAGTGAATCTCCTAACAGGAAGTGACCTGGCTTTCGAGTTTCTACTTGCTTTATTAAATGGTGTGAATGGTATATCTCTACTGGGACACACAGGTTAGGCTCTTGGTTTTTTTTGATTTTGTATGACTGGGAGCAAAACTAAATGAAGGCCAGGAAAACACCCTGGAGAACAAAAAGTTCCCTGTAATGCAAAATGCCGAAGCCCTTCCTCGCTACATTGCACTTACTGTCTCACCTGCCCAGAGTGGTCTGGGGGGCGATGTCGTTTCCTCCCCAGAGAAAGTGGGAGAGGCTAGTCCCATTCCCAGCTCTGGCGGAACCAGGCTGTGGCAGGAGTGACTTCATCCTTCTGTGTGATATATCACAGTCTCCAACATAGTAGCTCTATTGCTGTTCAGATAAAAAGCACAGAACCACCAAGCCATATGGTGAGAATTTTCAATCATCTTCCATTTGTAGGGACCCCGATCCTGCTCCCCTGCCATGGTACATGCTTCTATCCCCATTCATCCTGTCATTCATCAAATAAATAAAGACATACATATATATTATATGAAGTGTGACGTTTGTGCTAGTCACTGGGCTGGCATAGCTAAGTGGCTCTGTGCAGTCTGTGCATGAGTGTGTACGTGCCTCTGTGTGTCTGTGTACACTACCCCCTATGGCTAGGAGGACACACGTGTGTGCATGTGTGTGTGTGCATGCTCTACCCCATATGGCTAGGAGCCTTTGGTCACCCTTTAGTTGTTACCCATGGGTGAGGGCGCCCCTTCGCATATACACCTACTATAGTCAGCAAACTATGGCCCCTGGGCCCAATCCGGCCTGCCACCTGTTTTTGTAAATAAACTTTTATTGAAACACAGCTGCACCCATTCTTTTACATATTGCCCATGGCTGCATTTGTAGTATAATGCAGAGTTGCGTATTGCAACGGAGACCCAATAGCTCGCAAAACCTAGAATATTTACTGTTTTGCCCTTTACAGAAAAGTTTGCTGACCCTTCCTTTATGGATAGAACTTAAGAAACAAACAGTTCAGAAGACAGGTCTGTCCCAGACACAGGCAGGTTGTCTTAATGTGTGTGGAGTGTGCAATGAGCTGCCTAGGCATGGAATTGGCAGATGTCGTTCACGAAAGGATGGATGACTTTGGCTTTGGTCCTACCGGGAGAGGTGTTTCTGGAGGAAATAGTGGGAGGCTGCATCGTATCGGCCTCCATGCGGGAGGCTGGATGGAGGAGCCAAGGACTGGCCCGCCAGGGACCGGCGTGGGAAGTGAGCGACAGACCACGCAAGTGAGCGTGGAGGAGGAATGCTGACAGCCAGGGTGAGGCGAGGGTTTATGAAAGTGCTTGATGTGTGTGTCCTGCAAGCCTCATAACAGCTCGTGAAGAAGCTATTATTAGTTCCATTTTATAGATGAGAAAATCAAGACTCCAACAGTTCATAAGGTCACACAGCCAATAAATAGCATCACCTGGATCTGACCCCTGCCAGTCCAACTCCAAAGCCTGTGTCTTCGCTGCTGTGTCAGACTGACCGGCAGGGAACCGGCTGGGGCATGCCAGCCAATCCCTGGGGCAGAAGGCAGAGTGAGGGCTTTGCATGCCTGTTGTGGGCCCGAGACTCCTTGCTTTACCTGCAGGCCTTTCTCAGAAAATGTGTGGATGTTGGATATTTGCAAACTTCTGCAAATCAGGTCAGCGTTTGAATTTGCTCAGAGCTGGAAGGAATCCTGTGGGTGTTCTTTTGCGAAATGAATGGGCAAAACCTTTTGTGTAAACCTAGGGTTGTTTAAAGAAGGACATACCTGCAACTGGCCTGTTCTTTTTCTTTCTTTCTTTTTTTCATTAATAAGCTTTATTTTTAGAGTAGCTTTAGGTTCACAGCAAAATTGAGCAGAAGGTACAGACGGTTCCCATACACCCCCAGTGGCCACACACCCACAGCCTCCCCCACTGTGAACATCCCGCACGACAGTGTGAATTTGTTATAGTCGATGAACCTGCATTGATACATCATTACTATCCAAAGTCCATTAGGGACGCTCTTGGAGTTGTGACAAAGGTGTAACGACATGTGTCCATCATTATAGTATCACAGTAGTGTCACTGTCCTTTACATCCTCTGTGCTGTTAGTCCCTCCCTCCCCCCAACCCCTAGCAACCACTGATCTTTTTACTGTCTCCAGGATTTTGCCTTTTCCAGCATGACGTGTAGTTGGAATCATCATATGATACATAGCCTTTTCATATTGATTTATTTCACTTAGTAATATGCACTAAAGTTTCCTCCATGCTTTTTCACAGCATGAGAGCTCATTTCTTTTTATCGCAGAGTAATATTCCATTCTCTGGATGCATCACTCTTTATCCACTCACCTACCGAAGGGCGTCTTGGTTGCTTCCAAGTTTTGGCAATTATGAATGAAGCCACTATAAGCATCGGTGTACAAGTTTTTGCGTGGACATATGCTTTCAACTCCTTTGAGTAAATACCAAGGAGTATGACTGGTGAACTGAATGGTAAGAGCATGTTCAGTTGGATACGAAACTGCCAAACTGTCTTCCAAAGTGGCCGTACCATTTTGCATTCCCGTGAGCAGTGAATGAGAGTTCCTGTTACTCCATATCCTTGTCAGCATTTGGTGGTGTCAGCATTTTTGATTTTGGCCATTCTAATAAGTATGTAGTAGTCTTTTTCTTTTTTCTTCGTCTTCTTTCTTTTTTTCTGTTGCACGTGTTCTTTCTGTCTCTGACTCACTCTTTAGCATTTTCATTTAAACTTTTAATAGCATTGACCAATGTGTTGTGTGCATTTACATTTTAGCATGTTATAGTTTTGTTCTGGTCATTTTCACTTTTCTGTTTTTTTTTTTTAAACTAATGCTCTCAAAATAAAATGGGAAACATGGAAATGAAACAAAACAAAATATTGTTTTATATGATGCTAGTGTTGCTTTATGTATTTATGCTTTTTAAAAAGTTTCTTTGTAATGGACAAGTAAAAATTCTATTTATGGAGTACAACATGATGTTTTGATATATGCATACATTATGGAAGGACTAAATCAAGCTACCTAACATATGCATCACCTCACATACTATTTTGTTTTGATGAGAACACTTAAAATCTACTCTCTTAGTGATTTTCAAGTCTGTCGCTGTCTATCTCTGTCTTCATGTCCTTCCCTCCATCACCTGGAAGCAGGAGGAGCCACACCCAGAGTCCCCAGTGGGGCAGGTGCTCAGCTCTCCTGGCCCAGGAGGCGCAGTGGCCTGCCAGGCCCCTCTGCTGACTGCTGTCGGGCCAGGCTGCTCAGGCCCGAGGTTGGTGATGGAGCTCTGCCTGGCTGCCCCGTTGGCTGCCTCTTGGGCTTGGTGTCTGCATGGCTTGGGAGTTTCAGGGAGGCAGGGAGGGCCTGGCATGGCCTGCCTGCTGTGTCTTCTGTTTTATGGCAGGCAGGGGACGGCCTCTGTGTGGTACAGATAGACACCGCTGGCCAAAGCTTCCGCTCCCACCTCAGTCTGGTGGGCTTGGGGCACACATGGGGTATCCAGGGGTGTCCTCTGGGGAGCAGGGTCGGGGCAGGATTGTCCAGGGGCTACCCTTCCCCTCTCCTGGCCTGCATCCCACCCCAGGCCCCAGCCCACTTCCCCTGCTTGTCTTCCTCCACACATACGGCCAATTTTCCAGGTCCCTTCCTGGGACTGTTGCCTCTCTAGGCTCTGTGTGCTCCATCCACTGCCAGAGAAGAATCTGAAACGTGGGCACAGCATGGCTCATGCTGCTACCAGGAGCGAGCAGCCTGGGAGTGGGGGCAGCTCCTCAATCCTCCCAGGCTCCCGTGTTGGGGTGGCTGGGAACAAGGGCTGAAGGTCACCCATGAGCCAGCCACGACTCAGTGGGCCATGCTAGGTGGGCGCCTGCAGGGCCCGACTGCTGACTCCACGCTCCTGTGACTGTGCTGTGTGGACCCCAGACACAGGACAGGAACCCCACTGGGGGATCTGAATCCTGGCACGGGCCAGCTGGGGTTCAGACGGCCTTTGCCTTGGGTGCTGGTTCAGCCTGGCTGATCAGTTCCCTGTCATCACTTTGGTGACAGCATCCCCACCAGGCCACGGGCCACGCGCCCTGTGAGGCTGGGCCAACACAGCCCTGCGGGACTAAAGAGCCAGGGCCAACCCAGTCCCTTTTCTCTCGTAGACTCCTCCCTCCTTCCAAGTCCAGCTCAAGTGCTCCCCCTTTCCTGATGCCATCGCCTCACCCCCAATAGAGGAGCTTCCTCCCTCTTTGGTGATCTGAGACCTTTTTGTCCTTTCACCTGCCTGGTAGGGCTACGATTCCTGCCTCAGCTCTCTCCCCCATGGCCCACAAGTGCTGTAAAGGTGGAGATGATGATCTTCTCCAGTTCTGGTCCCTCACTCTCCCCTTGATTCCCTGCCACGGCCTCCCACGTGGGCTCTCAGGACGTGTAGGGTTAAATGGGGTTGGATGTGGACCAGCCCAAGGGGCTGGGCTGCTGCTTCCACGTGTTTGGGGTGGGATGAGGTTTCCATGAAGCAGTGGCTCTTAACTCTGCTGGGAAGGGCCTCCCTTATTCCTCACTGAGCACAACGCGTGTCTTTCGGGGGGAGACCAGGGGCCTTTTAATCAGCTCCCACCTGCCCTCTGAGAAAAAGTATTAACAGAAGGAAAGGGCCGGGCGCGGTGGCTCACTCCTGTAATCCTAGCTCTCTGGGAGGCCGAGGCGGGCGGATTGTTTGAGCTCAGGAGTTTGAAACCAGCCTGAGCAAGAGCGAGACCCCGTTTCTACTAAAATTAGAAAGAAATTATCTGAACAACTAAAAATATATAGAAAAAATTAGCCGGGCATGGTGGCGCATGCCTGTAGTCCCAGCTACCGGGAGGCTGAGGCAAGAGGATCACTTGAGCCTAGGAGTTTGAGGTTGCTGTGAGCTAGGCTGATGCCACGGCACTCACTCTAGCCCGGGCAAAAGAGTGAGACTCTG